CTCCTCGCTCTCGTTAGCAGCCTTCTTGCTGCGTTGCAATGCGTCCTCAGCTCCTCGATATGATGATACCACCAGTATGGTTGCGTTCTTCCTTGCGTTCTTCCTTGCGTTCTTCTTTGCGATGTAGCAAACTGCTGTGCCGCCTTTATTGCTTCCGTCAGACTAGTTGGGTTAGCCTCCTTTCCCTGACAGGTGATTAGTAGGCATTCTCTAAACTCCTGTTTGTGGATTGGTGTGCGCTCAATCCAGCTCGTCCGTACTATCTTTCTCTCCAGTTCGAAGGTCACATACTTATGTCCACTGAATGATTCCTCCTCCACCAGTACTTTCCAATCCTTGATCTTTTTTATGATATCCGATGTTGCCATGGTTAAGTCCAGGTGAGATCGGATACCCCTCCTTTCGAAAGTCGCCTCCCCATCGTTCAGCACTGTTAGGTCCAAAGCTTCCATCCACTCAGTCAGATATTTACCCTTTTTATCGGTGTTTGGAGATCCCCAAATAACCGATTTCGAATTGAAATCTCCCAGGATAATCACCTTGTTTTTCTGTGTCCTGACATCCCTCATGACCTCGTCGATGTACGCCTTAAACTCCTGCAACCCGATGTTCGGAGAGCAGTAGCAGTTATATAGAACCATATCCTGAAAGCAGATCTTCACGTAACCCTGTCCCGTTTGATGTTTCTTTATTCCCATATTTCTGTTTACACACCATATTGCCACATCCTCTCTTTTATCCAGTATCCACCCCTTGTTTCTACTAATCCTCTGATTTGGTTCTTGCACACACACAAGATCTACTCCCGTCCTTATTGCCATGGCATCGGTAGCGTCATGTGCAGCCCTTGCGCGATCTACGACCCTACCCTACCCTACCCTACCCTACCCTACCCTACCCTACCCTACCCTACCCTACCCTACCCTACCCTACCCTACCCTACCCTACCCTACCCTACCCTACCCTACCCTACCCTACCCTACCCTACCCTACCCTACCCTACCCTACCCTACCCTACCCTACCCTACCCTACCCTACCCTACCCTACCCTACCCTACCCTACCCTACCCTACCCTACCCTACCCTACCCTACCCTACCCTACCCTACCCTACCCTACCCTACCCTACCCTACCCTACCCTACCCTACCCTACCCTACCCTACCCTACCCTACCCTACCCTACCCTACCCTACCCTACCCTACCCTACCCTACCCTACCCTACCCTACCCTACCCTACCCTACCCTACCCTACCCTACCCTACCCTACCCTACCCTACCCTACCCTACCCTACCCTACCCTACCCTACCCTACCCTACCCTACCCTACCCTACCCTACCCTACCCTACCCTACCCTACCCTACCCTACCCTACCCTACCCTACCCTACCCTACCCTACCCTACCCTACCCTACCCTACCCTACCCTACCCTACCCTACCCTACCCTACCCTACCCTACCCTACCCTACCCTACCCTACCCTACCCTACCCTACCCTACCCTACCCTACCCTACCCTACCCTACCCTACCCTACCCTACCCTACCCTACCCTACCCTACCCTACCCTACCCTACCCTACCCTACCCTACCCTACCCTACCCTACCCTACCCTACCCTACCCTACCCTACCCTACCCTACCCTACCCTACCCTACCCTACCCTACCCTACCCTACCCTACCCTACCCTACCCTACCCTACCCTACCCTACCCTACCCTACCCTACCCTTTTTTTTTTTTTTTTTTTTTTTTTTTTTTTTTTTTTTTAAGTAGGGGGAAAATGCTCATGCACGCCTGGGAAGGTGTCCCAGGCAGTGTTGGACTCGTTGCCGAGGGCAACGCCTTACCAACTAAAAACCCACCTACTTTTCTCCACGCTATTTGGTCAGCCTCCGGATTCACCTAAAACGGTATGCTACAGAGGGACCAGCGTATCCTACTCGTCCATCGATTCCCTCTCTAAAACTCTCTCGTCCACCTCCTTGATCCTTAAAATTTCCTCTACCATGTCCTGTATGGCTTTCCAATCCTCTTCGTTCCTGAGCATTAATCCTATGATATTTTCTTTCGTGATTTTTGTGTTCGTTTTCCTCTCTGCAGTGCTCCTGAAATTCTCCCACCTCTCGCATTCGAAAATTGTATGCTCCGCTGTATCCTCCTCGCTACAGTACATACATGTCCCATCATCCGTTTTACCTATCCTTTTGACGTAAGCCTTGAAACATCCGTGGGCCGTTAGTGCCTGGGTGAGGTAGAAATTTGTCCTTCGATGGGGACAATCCAACCATTCCTTCACGTTCCTTATTAGAGTTTTGGTCCATGCCGCCACTCCTTCCAAATTGTCCCATCTCTCCTGCCACTTTTCTACGGTTTCCGCTCTCATCCTTGCCTTATTTTTGGATCCTTGTTCTTCACTATTCCATAGCCTAACCCTTTCCTCCACCAGCAGATCGACAGGTATAACTCCTCCGATAACGTACAGAGCCTCCGTAGATGCTGTGACGTAAGAGCACGCTATATGAATTAGCAGCTTGCGTTGCGCTGTAGTCAACATATTCCTGTACCTCCTGTACCGCAGGACCTCTCCCCATACAGGAGCGCCGTACAGGATCGTTGACTGCCAGACGCCATTTAGGAGCCTCCTCTTATTCGTCCCCAGACCACGTGTTTTTGGCATTATTCTTTTTAGGGCCCCTACGAGCCTTTCTCCTTTACAGGTCGCATTCTTTATGTGAGAGGTAAAACGAAGCTTGTCGTCCAACCATATACCTAGGTATTTCACTGCTCTTTTAGGGGTTATCGGTACCCCGTTCACTTTGAACACGATGTCTTCTCTGCTCGTTTTACCTCTCACAATAACGGCTTCTGTTTTAGCTGCTGCCAGCTTAAGCTTGTTGCTTGACATCCACCTACTAATGTCCTTTAAGGCACGGTTAGTATCATCCATGAGGGTTTTCTTGTCTCTAGCTTTAGACACCAGCACCAAGTCGTCGGCATATGCCACCGTCCAGCAATCCCCCGTCAGCGTCAAACGGAGAACTCCATCGTATAAGATATTCCACAGAGTCGGTCCGAGGACCGAACCCTGCGGAACTCCTTGGGTCATCTTTAGGTTCTTCAACCCCGTGTTTATTTGCCGATTCCTAAAGTAGTCTTCAACGATTTTAATCAGGTAAGTACTAATGCCCGCATCTGCGAGGCACCTCAGGATGATACTCCAGGTCGCCGTATTAAAGGCATTTTTTATGTCAAGCAGCACCAGTGCTGCCCACTCCTTCCTTCCTTCCCTTGCCTTCTCGCATACCCAACTGACCGCATCAAGGGTTGACATACCCTTTCGAAATCCGAACTGTGAGTCAGATAGTACGTTTTTTCCTTCCATTTCCTCCTCTAGTCTGCCTTTAATAAGGTGTTCATACAGTTTGCCCATCACACTTAGCAAACAGATCGGTCTGTATTGACCGTTCTGTTTGGGGATCAGAACTACCTTCGCCGCCTTCCAGCAGTTCGGAAATTGCTGCCTCTCTAGTAGTTGATTCATCATATCGAGGATCACGTCTGGGATTGTGTCCACGGCTTCTTTCATCGCATCTACCATTATACGGTCAGGCCCTGGGGCTTTTCCACTCTTTAGCTTCTCTGCAGCAACGGATAGCTCTCCTCTCGTGAATTTCTGGACGTTTTGGCCCATTTCGTAACTCCTCCACTTATCTGCCTTCGTAGGGAACAGTTCTAGAATTATACGGTGTTTTTCGTCTTTATGTAATTCGTACTGCGTTCTTGATGTTCTTAGTTTTTTAGTTACGATTTGATAACCCAATCCCCAAACGTCTTCTTCCAGCTCTTCACAGAGCTGCCTCCATTGCTGCCTTTTGGCCGTGGACATCGCCATCCTATATTCTTTCTTTGCCTTTTTGTATTTTTCGCTGAGGTCTTCCACTTCTGCGATGTTGGGTCGTGGTTTTCTCCTCCTCGCTCTCGTTAGCAGCCTTCTTGCTGCGTTGCAATGCGTCCTCAGCTCCTCGATATGATGATTCCACCAGTATGGTTGCGTTCTTCCTTGCGTTCTTCCTTGCGTTCTTCTTTGCGATGTAGCAAACTGCTGTGCCGCCTTTATTGCTTCCGTCAGACTAGTTGGGTTAGCCTCCTTTCCCTGACAGGTGATTAGTAGGCATTCTCTAAACTCCTGTTTGTGGATTGGTGTGCGCTCAATCCAGCTCGTCCGTACTATCTTTCTCTCCAGTTCGAAGGTCACATACTTATGTCCACTGAATGATTCCTCCTCCACCAGTACTTTCCAATCCTTGATCTTTTTTATGATATCCGATGTTGCCATGGTTAAGTCCAGGTGAGATCGGATACCCCTCCTTTCGAAAGTCGCCTCCCCATCGTTCAGCACTGTTAGGTCCAAAGCTTCCATCCACTCAGTCAGATATTTACCCTTTTTATCGGTGTTTGGAGATCCCCAAATAACCGATTTCGAATTGAAATCTCCCAGGATAATCACCTTGTTTTTCTGTGTCCTGACATCCCTCATGACCTCGTCGATGTACGCCTTAAACTCCTGCAACCCGATGTTCGGAGAGCAGTAGCAGTTATATAGAACCATATCCTGAAAGCAGATCTTCACGTAACCCTGTCCCGTTTGATGTTTCTTTATTCCCATATTTCTGTTTACACACCATATTGCCACATCCTCTCTTTTATCCAGTATCCACCCCTTGTTTCTACTAATCCTCTGATTTGGTTCTTGCACACACACAAGATCTACTCCCGTCCTTATTGCCATGGCATCGGTAGCGTCATGTGCAGCCCTTGCGCGATCTACGTTGATCTGTAACACCTTCAGCATTGTAAAATGTATGTATAGATAAATAAATATATGTGTAAATAAATATATGTGTAAACAAATAAATATGTGTATAAATATGATCCTTTTTTCTCTCCTCCTTTCTTCTTCTTCCTTTCTTTTTTTTTTATTTGTTTTTGTTTTGTTTGTTTGTCTAGTCTTTGATTGTCTGCTGTCCTCTCTGAGAATCCGAGATCTTACGGTAAGGTGTTCCGCTTATCGACCCTCTGCTTTCCCTTCGTATTCTTTCCCTCCTGTCAAATACCAGCTTTCTCATTACGGGACAATTCATCGAGTTCGTGGTATGTCCTTCCTTTTCGCAGGTAATACAATAAGGATTGCTTTGGCATTCTCTTTGTAGATGACCTTCCTTCCCACATTTCAGGCAGTTATTTTTCCTTTCCTGTCCCTCGCAGTCCGAAGCTCTATGTCCAACTCCCCAGCATTTGTAACATTTACCTACATTAATCCTCTCCTCCAGTCTGCAGTTGATTATACCTATTTTTACGTTGTCTCCCAATTTCTGTCTTGCCGATTTATCTATCACGAGTGTTATCGTTTTGGTCGAATTCGATGCCGGTCTTAATCTGGACAATGTGAAGTACACGTCCCTACCTACTTTCTCTCTTACCCCGTTTTCCACGTCCTCTTCCGTCGCCAGTTCGTCTATATCCCTGATATGGAATACCATCTGTCTCCTTCTGGGGATACTGGATTTCGCCGTGAGCTGAACCTGCTCCTTAAGTACCTCCGTAAGTCTATTTCCCCCTCCTGCCTTAACCTTAATCATCAGGTCTCCTCTGTTCGTTTTTTGCATTCTCCTAACGTCAATTTCCTTGTTATCAATTGCTACCTTGGTCTTTATGGTTTTTAACATATCCGCGTACGATCCTTCATTACCTGTTCTCACAATAACCGTATCCATTTGAAATTTCTTACCTATCATCTGTTTGTCTATTGGTGTTACTATGTTTGTTTTAATCCTTGTCCTTCGGCTTGCACATTCGAGAAGTTTGTCCAGGTCGTGTGTTATCTCCACTGTTACCTCATTACAATTCCTCTTGCAACCTTTCAACACCCCTTCCAGTTTCTTATATGTTTCCTCGCACACTACAGAGTCCCCAGTGACTGGCTGCATGTATACTTTCTTAACCGTTGTTTTAGCTCCTGCCCTCGATGTGATTGTTTGAGTGTTGCCCATCTCTTCCGTGTCACCTTTACTAGTCTTTATCATTTCCTTAAAACCTGGGAATACCGTTTCCAACTCTAGTCCCTCCCCGTCTGACCTGTCCCTTCTATGGTCGAACAGGTATACAAAGGTGTTGTCCTTATAGGTGTCTTGGGTTTTCTCCACTTCTTTAATCGCTTTGTATGTCGCCTGTGGCCAGTGTCTATTCATCAGCGGCTCCAGGTCTTGATATTCTACAACCCGGTCTACTTGTTCACTAATTTCCTTACTTTCCTTTTCTTCCTCTTCCTCATTTCCCGACAGGTAAGTTTGTGTTCCTACTGTGCAGGTTTTAACTTCCTTCCTCGGCTTTTCTTCCCTACGCGTGTGCCTCTCTTGTTCTACCTCTATAAGTGTCATTTCTCCCTTCTCCGCCCATCTTCTCATCTCCTTGACGTGATCCTTAATTTCCATCTTCGTGTAATTCCCGTGCTGACGTATTAAATCGCTAAGAATCTTCGCTTCGGTCATTATCTTTTCGTACATTTTTTTAAACTCGTTTAGTTTATTGCTTCCTTCCTTATCCTCCGAAACCTTCGTTCCTTTATCTTCTTTAATCTTTTTCTTCCCTTTCTTCGGTGACATCTGCTCCCTTTCCCTTTTCCCCTTTTGTCCTTTAAAAGCGGGCCTTGCATCTTCATCGCTTGAGAATAATTCCGAAGCCGATGCGTTGCCTGACAGCTTGTAGATAGCTGATACGAACGGTTCCTCGTCCGTAAATCCCTCCATTGTCCCAGGAGTCGGTAATTCGTCCGAAACAGATTCCTGCCTCCTTAGTGCAATCCTAATCTCCTTTACCGATTTGCTGGTCTCTCCTTCCTCATTGTTACCGGTTTTCCCACCGGCTGGTGCGTCGGGAAGCGGGGGCGTTCTCGCCAAGGCCTTCCTTGGCTTGAACGCCTTATCGCCGTCCGTCGGCTTTACCGAATCTATCGAAAATTTGCCCCCCCCAGAATCCGTGGGGCAGTCCGACATCGCGGAGGGGGATTCTGGACCTTCGGTCCTACCCCCCTGGGGTAATACGTTGCGAATTTCCGACATTTCATAGTTATTCTGGTTTTTTTTTCAGGGTTCCCCTTCCCTTAGCCCATGCGTTCCAGTTTAGGCGCCAGAGATTCGCCATCACCCTTCTCCGTTGGCTACGAGACGTACTTCCACAGCACGCCGCGCATTACCAGGGACCACCGCGAGGAGGTGGAGATAGGATTTGCCGGTTCGTCCACACAGGACTGCGGGCTCAGCGTTTTATTGTACGGTAAGTATGGGCACCTCACCGCACCTACTGAGACCCACTGGGACTACTGCGTCCCAAAACCCGGCCATTTGGTCCCCACCCTACCCTACCCTACCCTACCCTACCCTACCCTACCCTACCCTACCCTACCCTACCCTACCCTACCCTACCCTACCCTACCCTACCCTACCCTACCCTACCCTACCCTACCCTACCCTACCCTACCCTACCCTACCCTACCCTACCCTACCCTACCCTACCCTACCCTACCCTACCCTACCCTACCCTACCCTACCCTACCCTACCCTACCCTACCCTACCCTACCCTACCCTACCCTACCCTACCCTACCCTACCCTACCCTACCCTACCCTACCCTACCCTACCCTACCCTACCCTACCCTACCCTACCCTACCCTACCCTACCCTACCCTACCCTACCCTACCCTACCCTACCCTACCCTACCCTACCCTACCCTACCCTACCCTACCCTACCCTACCCTACCCTACCCTACCCTACCCTACCCTACCCTACCCTACCCTACCCTACCCTACCCTACCCTACCCTACCCTACCCTACCCTACCCTACCCTACCCTACCCTACCCTACCCTACCCTACCCTACCCTACCCTACCCTACCCTACCCTACCCTACCCTACCCTACCCTACCCTACCCTACCCTACCCTACCCTACCCTACCCTACCCTACCCTTTTTTTTTTTTTTTTTTTTTTTTTATTATTTTAAGACAGGAAAAAAATGCATTTACGCACGCCCGGCCTGTTGTTGTGCGGCCGGGGAGTGTGGGACTCAGGCTTCAATACCCACTAAAAAAAACCTGTCTTCCTTACCTGCCAGAGGAGACCAACTGGATTCACCATGCGGCATACTACAGTTGACCTCGGCACTCCTTTTATCCCATCATCGTCCTTTCATCTACTTCCTTTGTTTTTAGAACAGTCTCTACCATTTTCTCTATGGCCTTCCAGTTACTGGGATTCTTCATCATCACCTCCACCAAATTCTCCGCTGTCAGCTCCACCCCGACTCCTTTCTCTGTTTTTCCCCTTTCCTCTCTCCATCGATCGCAATGAAACATTGTGTGTTCGGCCGTGTCCTCCTTGTCGCAGTACCAGCAAGTGCTGTCGTCGGTTTTTTTTATTCTTTTAACGTAAGATCTAAAGCAACCGTGTCCCGTAAGCATCTGGGTGAGGTAGAAGTTGGTTCTCCTATGCCTGCACTCATACCATTTCCTCAAATCCCTTATCAGCTTTCTTGTCCATCCTGCCACGTCCTCCTCTTGCCTCCATCTATCCGCCCACTTTGCAAGAGTTATTTCTCTCTCCATCCCTTTTATGGATTCTCCTTGATCTTTTCCTTGCCACATTCTACTTCTTTCGTCTGCCAACAGGTCAATGGGAATCACCCCCCCTACCACATAGAGAGCCTCCGTTGAAGCTGTTACATAAGCACTCGTGACATGAATTAGAAGCTTACGTTGCACCGTATTAATCGCCATTCTATACCTGCTAAATCTTAGCGCTTCCGTCCATATTGGGGCGCCGTACAAAACTACCGATTGCAAAACCCCATTTAGCATCCTTCTCTGATCACTTCCTGCTCCGTGAGTCCTAGGCATGATTTTCTTAAGAGCTCCAACGAGTTTCTCCCCTTTATCTATGGCTTTCCTAATATGGTTCGTAAAACGCAGCTTCTCGTCGATCCATATCCCCAAGTACTTGACTTCTTTTTTTGGGTATATCGAGACACCGTCCACCTGAAATTTAACATCGAGTCTTATCTTTTGGCCTCTTACGATAATTGCCTCCGTCTTCTCAGCAGCCAGCTTTAGATCGTTTTTTGTTAACCATTCGTTTATTTCTCTCAGGGCAAAGTTGGTGTTATAGATGAGAATCTCCTTACTAACGGCTTTAGTTATTAGGGCCAGGTCGTCCGCGTATGCCACTGTATAACAGTCGTCCGGTAACATTTGGCGCAATACTCCGTCGTATAAGATGTTCCATAGGGTCGGTCCCAGGACCGAACCCTGTGGTCGGTCCCAGGACCGAACCCTGTGGAACTCCCTGCGTCATCTTCAGATTTTCAGTTCCGGTCTCTATTTGCCTATTCTTAAAATAGTTCTCTATAGTTTTAATTAGATATTTGCTTATCCCTGCTTCTCTAAGTCGCTTCAAGATTATACTCCACGTTGCAGTGTTGAACGCGTTCTTAATATCTAATAAAACTATAACCGCCCATTTTTTTTTCCCTTCCCTCGCCTTATCTACCACCCATCTGACAGCGTCTATCGTTGACCTTTTTCTTCTGAATCCAAACTGTCTCTCCGCTAGAATCTCTTTCTCTTCTAATTCCTCCTCTAGTCTATTCTTTAACAGATGTTCAAATAATTTCCCGACGACACTCAGCAGGCAGATTGGTCTATACCCTTTCGGAACATCTGGTTGGCTACCGTGTTTTGGGATCAGGACTATGTTGGCAATTTTCCAGCACTCCGGAAACTCTTGTCGGGTTAATTGCTCATTCATTACACTTAATATCTCGTCTGGTATTATTTTTACCGCCTCCTTCAATGCTTCTACCGTAATACAGTCCGGTCCGGGGGATTTTCCGTTTTTGATTTTGCTGACTGCTTTACTCAGCTCATCTCGGGTAAAGATAGGAACATTATGATCCGTCTCACACATTTTCCACTCATCCGTTTTCGTTGGGAACAATTCGGTAACTACGCGGTGTTTTTCTTCTTTGTGCAACAGGTACTGTGATGACAAGCTTCTCAACTTCTTCATAACGATCTTGTATCCTGTTCCCCAGATATCGTCCTCTAGTTCTCCGCACAATGACTTCCACTGCTCTCTTTTCGAAACCTCTATCGCTGTCCTATATTGTTTCTTTAAGTCCCTGTGTTTTATATGTAGTTCATCCTGTACCTCTGCGCTGAGTTTTCTTCCTCTCGCCCTCGTCAGCTGCCTTCTTGCCTTATTACATTTTCCCCTCAGTTCCTCAATCTGAACACACCACCAATACGGCTGTGTTCTCCTTCCCTTTTTGAGACAAGTCGTTGCTGCGTCCTGTGCTATTTTTAAACCCTCCGTTAGTCTTCTTGGGTTTCTTAAGTTCTCCTTTCCTATAAACGCCAAGCACTGCCTAAATTCTTCCTTGTCTATTGGGATGTGTATTCTCCAGTCCAACCTCTTGATTTTTATGTCGATTTCGAAACTGATGTATTTGTGAAGGCTTAAGGATTCCTCCGCTCTCATAACTTCCCAATGCTTAATCTTTCTGCTCGCGGTAGCGGAGATCATTGTTAGGTCTATATGAGACCTTGTGGATCCCCTCTCGAAAGTAGCTTCCCCATTGTTCAATATGGTGAGATTTAACGCGTTCATCCATTCCGACAAATATGTTCCCCTTGCATCATTCGCCCTGGCTCCCCATTCTGTCGATTTTGCATTAAAATCACCAGCAATGATCACCTTCTTCTTTTGCCTTCTAACGTCCGTCATGAGTGCGTCTATGTATTCCTTAAAATCCTCTAGCGTTACGTTTGGCGATATGTAACAATTGTACATGTTCCAATCTTCGAGAACGAGTCTAATAAACCCATTACCGCAGTAGTGCGTTATGATACCCACCCCCTTATTCTTCACATTTATCGCGACGTCTCCCTTTACATCCATTAGAAAAACTTTGTTCTTTGCCATGTTCTTATTTGGTTCTTGGAAAAGAATTATATCCACCTTGTCCCTATCCGCCGTCGCATCTGCGGTGTCGTGGGCCGCTCTGGAGCGACCCACATTTATTTGCAGGATCCTCATATTGTCAAGGTGGGGGTATACCCCCTCCCTTGAAGTTTTTCGTGCACCAGACTTCTGTATCTCGGACATCTCATACTATCCGCTCTATGCCCTTCCTTATCGCACGTGGTGCATTTACTACTATTTTTACACTCTGAGGCCTTGTGGTCATCGCCACCGCAGTTATAGCACACGTGCTTTTTCTCCTCTCCCTTACATTCATTAGTGCGATGTCCTAGCTCTTGGCACTTAAAGCAACGATAGACACTAATTCTTTCCCTCACCACGCATGTTCCCCAGCCCTGTTCCAGTTCCAGCATTCCTCTTTCTACTAACCTTTTGGCTAAAAACTTGTCTAGTGTCACCCAAGCCGTTTGACTCCCTTTATATCCTTCTTTCATAACGATCCTTATATCCCTTTTAAAGTCTGTTCCTGCTACCTGTCTAATTGCCGATTCTAACTGTTCTCCTGTAACGTCCCCGTCAATATCCGATATATGTATTGTTTTAGTTCGGTTAACCATCTCGACTTTATTTTGAACGTTTTGTTTTATAGCTTCTTTAAACCGGTCCGCGATCGCCCTATCTCCTCGGACTTCCAGCAGTAGATCCCCTTTAGCCGTTTTCTGCACAGCTTTAATATCAACGCCTAGTTCTCGTGGATCAACTTTTTGTTTGATTGCTTTCAGCGCGTCCAGGTAAGTACCCTTTTCAGA